CAAAATTGAAAGAATAGGGTTAGGCTTAAAAATTCAAAATTTAAAAGGATAGGGTTAGGGTTTAGGGGTAGTGTTAGGGTGTGAATCGAGTTAAGAAATTCAAAATTTCAAGGATAGGTTTGGGATTAACGATTTCAAAACTTAAACCATAGGGTAGGGTTATGGTTAAGGTTAAATTCAAGATTGAAAGAATAGGGTTAGGGTTAAAAATTCGAAATTTAAAGGATAGGGTTAGGATTGACGAACTCAAAATTTAAACCATAGGGTAAGGATTATTGTTAAGGTTAAATTCAAAATTGAAAGAATAGGTTTAGGGTTAAAATTTGAAAATTTAAAGGATAGGGTTAGGGTTACATTCAAAATTAAAATAATAGGGTTACGGTTAAAAATTCAAAATTGAAAGAATATGGTTTGGGTTTAGGGTTAGGGTTAGAATCGAGTTAAGAAATTCAAAATTTGAAGGATAGGGTTAGGATTGACGGATTCAAAATTTAACCCATAGGGTCAGGGTTAAGGTTAAGGTTAAACTCAAAATTGAAAGAATAGGGTTAGGGTTAAAAATTCAAAATTTAAAAGGGTAGGGTTTAGGGTTAGGGTTAAAATTGAGTTAGGGTTAGGGTTTACAAACTCAACATTTAAAGCATAGAGTTGTTGTTTAGTACATGTAGTTCAAAATAGAATGAATAGGGTTAGGGTTAAAAATTCAAAATTTAAAAGGATAGGGTTAGGGTTTAGGGTTAGGGTTAGGGTTAGAATCGAGTTAGGGTTAGGGTTTATGAACTCAACATTTAGAGCACAGAGTTATTGTTTAGTAGTTCAAAATAGAATGAATAGGCTTAGGGTTAACAGATGTAATTTCAAGGCTAGGGTTAGGGATGACCAGTTGAAAAAATAAAGGATAGGGTTAGGGTTAGGGTTAAAAATTCAAAATTTAAAAGGATAAGGTTAGGTTTAGGGTTAGGGTTAGAATCGAGTTAAGAAATTCTACATTTGAAGGAGAGGTTTGGGATTGACGAATTCAACATTTAAACCATAGGATAAGGGTTATTGTTAAGGTTAAATTAAAAATTGAAAGAAGAGTTTTAGGATTAAAATTTGAAAATTTAAAGGATAGGGTTAGGGTTAGGGTTAGAATCGAGTTAGGGTTAGGGTTTACGAACTCAACATTTAAAGCATAGAGTTATTGTTTAGTAGTTCAAGATAGAATGAATAGGGTTATGGTTAACAGGATGTAATTTTAAGGCTTGGGTTAGGGTTGACCAGTTGAAAAAATAAAGGATAGGGTTAGGGTTAGGGTTAAAAATTCAAAATTTAAAAGGATAGGGTTAGGGTTTAGGGTTAGGGTTAGAATTGAGTCAGGGTTAGGGTTATCGAACTCAATATTCAAAGCACACAGTTATTGTTTAGTAGTTCAAAATAGAATGAACAGGGTTAGGGTCAACAGATGTAATTTTAAGGCTTGGGTTAGGGATGACCAGTTGAAAAAATAAAGGATAGGGTTAGGGTTAGGGTTACATTCAAAATTGAAAGAATAGGGTTAGGATTAAAAATTCAAAATTTGAAGGATAGGGTT